CACTTTTTTCCTCTTCGTTTTTTCTAGACAGAATAATAAAGCAAGAAAAAGGAGAAGAATGGTCACGGAAGGAGAGGGAAGATGAGTCAAGGAGGGTGGACAAAACGAAGAAAAAAAGAAAGGAGAAAATTAGAAATAGGAGCTTTTCGCTTTCCTGTGCTGGCATAAAATGAAAGGAAATAATGGGAGAAGAAACGGAACACAATTGCAATTTTTGAAAAAAAATTGGTTTGAAAAATCGAGAAAGCATTGTTTATGTTTTCCTAGGAACCCCCGATAAGTTTATGGACTTTGATGTGTTTTCTTTTCTTGTTCTTTTTCTCTAAATCTCTTCATGTTCTGGTCACTCGAAGCCGTTCAATCATTTTTTTGCACAAAGGTCCATGTGATTTTTATGAGGCTGGGAAAGTGCGAGAAACATGAGTAATAGATTTAAAAAAAGGGCAGACATCGGGACATGCAGAAACACAGAGGTTTTCTTCCGAAACGGTCTATCTCATCAGAATGGAATTTGGCAGAAAAATTGTTAATTCGACAAGTTCTGGAATATTTTTTCATGACTTCAAAGTTGACTGTTTTTCAATGAAACAGTCAAATTTTGGTATTTTTTCAAAATGCTCTTCTAATACAGGCTATAGGGTGCGCAAACAAATTTAATAAATTTTGTGGTTTATTAATGTTGGTTCGGTAGCCATGACCACCAGAATACACAGAGTCCTCTACGCCTCCCTAAAAAACCTCCCGCCCATTTCTTTGTGTTTCCGCTGAGGAACAGGATGTACTTCTCGGAAAAATATGGGGGAAATAAAGTGTACATTTCCTGATTTCGCCACCTGGGGGAAAATTGAGAGGGGAACTCGTGGGCGCTAAGTGGTCCGGAGAGTATAAAGTACGAAAAATGGCGGTCAAGAAACAAATGGCACAAAAAAGCTGCTAAAAACGCCTGACACTATACAACTATGTAAAAACTCCCAAAAAAAAAACAAGAAAAAAGTTCGTGAATAATTTAGACTTCCTGACAGTTGTTTAAAGCGGAAAAAACACACACTAAATTTGCAATCAAACACCCCGCATTTTTTAGAAACTACAGCACCAGCTGATTTTCTGTGTGGTCATTGAATGTGCTCCATTTAGGAAAGGAAAAGAAGAGGGTGGATGATCTAATCTGAAAAAAAAGAAACCCGATTTCTTTTTTTTTCTCAAGTGGTTCTAAAGAGAGAGAAAAGGGCACGAGTGAATATGTGTGACTCTGGGAAAAAATAAATATTTTTTTCGGATGACGGAGAACATTTGGCGAACGATTAGGTTTCAGGAAGTAGATGACACAAATCAAGGAGGAGCATTGAAACAAATTAAAATGAAAATTTGAGCTAGAAGAAATTTTTTTTGAAACTCAACTTTTTGAACTCTGGGTAATCTGGAATGAAACCAGAGACCCAGGGGAATAGTTTATGATCCAAAAAGTCAAAAAATGGGAACAGGAGATCATCAAAACACAGGAATTGGAAATTTAGGGATTTCATAACAGTTGGAAGGTCCTCCAGAAAGTTCTGAAACCCTGGAAAACTGAAAAAAATTTCAGAAAGTTTTGAACTTCTTATGATCTGTAAAATCTAAGAAATCAGAAATTGCAATATTTTTTTAAGTTTGGGAATTACAAAGATGATTATCCTCACAGTCGGAAACTGACAAAATTGCGAAATTCTCAAGAATACGAGAGCTCTGAAACCCCGAAACTTTTGAATGTTTTGAAATTCTGAATTTCTGAAATCCTGAATTTCTGAAATTCTGAATTTCTGAAATCCTGAATTTCTGAAATCCTGAATTTCTGAAATACTGAAGTACTGAAATCATGAAATTCTGAAAAGTGAAATTCAAAAACTTCAGAAACTCTAGTAACAGAAATTTAATAAAAATTCTAAAATTCTGAAGTTCTGAAATTCTGAGATTCTGAGATTCTGAGATTCTGAGATTCTGAAATTCTGAAATTCTAAGATTCTGAGTTCCTGAGATTCTGAGATTCTGAAATTCTGAGATTCTGAAATTCTGAGATTCTGAGATTCTGAGATTCTGAGATTCTGAGATTCTGAAATTCTGAAATTCTGAAATTCTGAGATTCTGAAATTCTGAGATTCTAAGATTCTGAAATTCTGAGATTCTGAGATCCTGAGATTCTGAGATTCTGAGATTCTGAAATTCTGAAATTCTGAAATTCTGAAATTCTGAAATTTCAACAAATCCGGAAATTTGAAAAAAAAAACAATTTTTAGGAAGTTCAGAAATTCAGAAATTTTGAAAATACTGAAATTTGAAAAAAAAAAAGAAAAATTCGAAATTTCAGGAATTTCAGAAAACTTCTTGAATTTTGAAGAATTCATAAAATCAGAAATTCACGAAAAATGACAAAATACTTTTATAAGAAAATCTCATATCTTGTGACTCTCAATCAATGAAAATTTTGGTTTGGGATATTAAAAATTAAGTCGGAAGTTTTGGAAAATTATTTTTGATTTTTCGGGTTTCCGAACTACAAGAACTGATCAGACTTTGGATCAATTTTCAATTTTCTCAAAGAAAAAAGTATAGATCACAAAGTCACAAGGTCAAGAAGTTCTAGGAAATGAGGAAGAAGAGTCAGGGAAAAAAGAAACAAATGGAAAAGAAGATACAAAAAAACTAGTAAAAGTATAATGTCGTTAGGATGTCGAGGGGCTCTAGTTATTAGTTAGACAAGTCTTCTTTGACTTTTTTTTGCATCGAATGCTTCTTTTTTCATTTTCAGCTGTCAGAATTCATTCGGATAAGAATATTATAGGTCAAGTGGAATGGCTGAATATCAAAGCTGTTCCAGGGCCGGCCGAGGCCAGCCGCGCCTTCAGAATAATGAAATTTGCTGAAAATTATGAGAAAAAAATTCTTGTCATGTGGAATTGTTTAAAGTTTTCTTGTGCCCAAAAAAAGGTTCCAAAAGTCCAAAAATGGCAAACCTAAAAGGTCCAAAAACGAAGAAGCGGAAGTCGTTAGAAATGTGTCTGGTTGAAATGGCCTGCGAGATCTTTACTCTTTTTATTTGAATTTTTTGTTGCGAAACTTTTTACTACATTGTAATGTTGATTTTGAAGGAGTTTTTATGTTTTTCTAGCTCTGAATTTTTTTTTGGTTGATCAAAAATCGAGTAGCTGAAGAAAAAAAGGGGTTCTTGGCAAAATGTTATTCGAAAATCTGTGCATAAGGAAATAGGTTTTGCCTACTTTTTGAACGGGTTGAGTCAGTCAGTAACTTGATTTCAGCAGTATTAGGGGGGCTATGAGAAGCTCAGTGGTGTCAACAAGAATTAGAAACTTGGGAATCAAAATTCAAGGGATTTCGAATTCCAGTGAATCTAATGACCTAGAAATCAGAATCTCAGAATCTCAGAATCTCAGAATTTCAGAATCTCAGAATCCCAGAATCTCAGAATCTCAGAAGCTCAGAGTCTCAGAATCTCAGAATCTCAGAATCTTAGAATCTTAGAATCTCAGAATCTCAGATTCTCAAAAGCTCAGAGTCTCAGAATCTCAGAATCTCAGAATCTCAGAATCTCAGAATCTCAGAATCTCAGAACCTCAGATTCTCAGAAGCTCAGAGTCTCAGAATCTCAGAATCTCAGAATCTTAGAATCTTAGAATCTCAGAATCTCAGATTCTCAAAAGCTCAGAGTCGCAGAGTCTCAGAATCTCAGAATCTCAGAATCTCAGAATCTCAGAAACTCAGAATCTCAGAGTCTCAGAATATCAGAATCTCAGAATCCCAGAATCTCAGAACCTTAGAATCTTAGAATCTCGGAATCTCAGAGTCTCAGATTCTCAGATTCTCAGAGTCTCAGAGTCTCAGAATTTCGGAATTCCAGAACCTCGAGTTTTTGCTTTGACACAAAAAAATCTTTAAAAAAGAAACATGCATTCAAGTATGTTTTTTAAAGTGTCCTACTGAATAAGTGATGATAAGCGCTAAAAAGAAAGAGAAGACCTAAAAACAGCTGGAAAAAAATGAAAAATAATGTTCAAACATGTGAGCCGTCTTTGACCTGCTGACTTACTTGTTGAATCATTTATAATTCGAGACGACAGGAAATTCGGATAAAAATTTTGAGAGAAATATTTAGGGTCAGATGATCAATAATGTGTCTGCTTGGAATATCACTAATTTTTCTTTTCGAAGAATTCCTATAAGAGATCGATCAGAGACTAAATTAAAGAAGAGGAAATAGGAGAGATTTTTCGGGGTTCTTCGGAGTTATGGTTTTTTTTCCTTATAATGGGTTTTCATTTTTTAGAAATAATTTTTTTAATGTCCACTTTCACCTCCAGACAAAAATTAGGATCTTAAAACAAAAAAGCGGTTGGACTGCAAAAGTACGAAGAACAAAAGTGAAAAAGTATAATCTTGACTTTCCGAGAAACTTGTATCTGCCCCCGCTTTCTTTTTTTCATCTGCATTTGTTCCTGTCCCATTCGGTTCATCTCATTCTCACATTCGTATGCATTTCCGACGAGTTTTCCGCGACGTGACCCCTTTTTTTTATAAATATTGCGCGATAGGAAAAGAAATGAGAAATGGCACGGAAAGAAAAAAAAAGGTCAGTATTGTTCAGATGACTACGTTAACCGTAAAACCTGTAATAGAAGGGGCCACCACTGTCAAATTTAGGCTCAATTCGACCCAGGACCCAGGGCCCGGAAGCCCAGAAGCCCGGAGGCCCGGAGGCCCGGAGGCCCGGAGGCCCGGAAGCCCGGGAGCTCGGTTCCCTTTCTCGGGATCACTTTCTCTGGAGCCCAGAGCAGAGAGAATTGATTTTTCCCTCAACTTTTCTCTTCCTTCTCTCTTTCTGATTGTGAGGTAATTAAATTTTTCGCTTTTGAAATCTATGAAGTTTAATGTCTTGTTATTAGAAAATATGTAAATACTTCCGAGTTCCCTTTATTCATTATTCAATACTCCGAATTCCAATAATGTATCATTTATTTATGAAGACTCTCTTTGAACAGTTGCTTAGAATTATGAGCTTCCGCATGAAACACTTGCAGAATCTCCACCAGCCCCAATACATCATCGAAACATTTCGCCAGCACCGTACCAACGGAAATGAGCTCCTGGAACCGGAGAGGTCCCATATCGTGACGCGTAAATCTACAGTAGTCCATAAGTGCCTTACTGTACTTTCTTTGTTGCTCGGAGACAATTTCTAATCCGGATCTCGAGATGCCAGGGAGTTCTGGAATATGGGATTTAGGGAAAATATCGGAAGGAGTACAGTACTCGGAGTACAGAATAGAATCATAGTCATAAGAATGTATTCTTCTTGGGTTATACGAACATTCTTCAATTTAGCCACCAGCAGCTTCTGGACACGCTCCACCATGTCCTCGGAAAGTTCTGGCATACTGAAAATTGGCTGTGTTCAAGTTTTCAAATTTTCGAATCCAGATTCACTTCTTAATTCTACATGAGTACAATTCGGTACCATCTGGATTCAGTAGAAGGTCACTGTTATAGCTAGCCGAGAAGAATGCAGATGAAAGAAGATACGAATTCATGGCAAAGCTCTTGATCATGAATTCCTTATCCTCTGAGGTGAGAAGATGCATGAAATCAATACAATTCAAAAACTCCACAGAAGTCCAGACTCCAAAGAATGACCATTGAGATAGAATCAATCCATTGCAGGGTGGTGGTGAGGAGGGTCCCTAGAATTTTACTTGTAGTTTTTTTTTAATTCCAAAAAAACCATACATCGCTAATTCTCAAAGCTGAGAATCCCCTACAGGTCCCATTGATGAGTTCATCAATCGTCGGATCCTGATCACTGCGCATTAGCGTGAAACTTCTCAACCGGTGTGAATCCAAGTACAGTAATCCTTGAATCATGTTGGTCAACACGTCGACAGGGCTCAGGACCACTGGTGGAATGGGTGATTGATCAGTGAACTTTGCTATCGGAAGCTTTGATGCATCTTCAGAGCATTCTCCTGGAGTGTACTTCATACCGACGTCCAGGCATCTTTGAAATCGACAGGCACGGCATTTTGGGCGTTCTCTGCATGACTCTGAAAATCGAAAAAATTCAGAAGAAGGTGGGGAGACAAGAAAGTCCTGGGGGGTTTCTTGTGGTTGCGGCATTTGTTGTCAGTCGAGTTTGCGACCACGTAGCTCAGTTGGTAGCGGTGAGGTCACCATGAAAACTTGCTCAGAAGTTCAACTCCATCAGAGGCGTTTTATCATGTCTACCTTTTTGAAAAGTAGAATTCAATTCATTTTTGAATTTCCTAATCCAGTTTCCACCTATTTTCATTGCTCTTCCCTTCTCGTTCCACGCTTCCATTCAAATTCTCAGCTGACGCACATTATAAAGCACTCTAGTTAATATCCATGATTAAGCTCTCTCAATCTCCACCCTCCTGTAATTTCCCTGCAGACTGAGTCTCATTTTAACAGATAATCGGCATTTAATATTACATAAAAGCTTGAAATCTCCGATTTTTTTTTGTGACGCTCAATGAGAAAAAACAGATAGAATAGCTGATCCAAAGTTGGAGAACGTTTATTGGACCGGCACATGTTGTCCGGATCACATGGTATACGGTAGCGGGGATTTGTGTAGGTCAAATAAGTTGAGACTCGTCGATAGATTTCATTTAAAAAATAGTGTATTGGGCCGTACTATTTTGACACGGTAATCATATAAGTGTAAGCCTCTGAATTTCCTAAATCATACCGGTTTAAAACCAAGTTCCATTCAATCAGATAAATTAAAATGTAACAATCATAATATCCTAACTTCCTTTTTCAGACAGCTTGTATTGTTAGTTATAATGATCGACTTCTCTGAAACGTTAGTTCTCAGAATGAAATTCTCATAATAGAATGCTTTAGACTACAGACATTGGAATACTTTGTCATTGTCACAGGAAAGTACTACGGAACAAAAAAAATACGAAAACGCTCAGACAGCTTAATCGGCAAAGATGTATGGGGTGAACAGACTAGTATCAAAATTTGGGATGTCTCACTAGGACTGTCTCACAATTGAGTTTATGTTGGTGTGCAAGTACCGTATTACCACTAATACATAAAAGCGCACCAATCCGTCAAATATGAGCTCAATTATTTCGATTTATGTAAAAGATACCAAAAGTTTATGAAAATTACTCTCTATCAAAAACGATTCAACGGATGAAATATTGGAGATATTATGATGAGTAATTTATCAGAAGATATCGTTTTTGATACCTTTTTCATGAAATGTTATAATTGCGCTCGAATAAACAGTTTGTGTGAGTTTCTATTAGAGGAAGTATCTTAACAGGAAGTACGGTAATCATATGCGATGGTTTCGTGCGCCTAACACGGTCGGCATGGATCGGCTTATAACTCGCTTCAAAATGGAAATTGTGAACAAAACATCATACTAAATGGTAGTTCTGGGAGCTCTCTACAACCACTAATAAGAATCCACCGGTTTCGAAAGCTGTACTTTGATCCGGGCCAACGATTTTTGCCCGGCCCGGCTATTAAACGTCGGACCGCACCTGGTTACTGATTTAAATGCTGGTCGGGTTTTCTGGTCGGGTTTTATAAGATTTAAATGCTGGTCGGGTTTTATAATTGAGCTCTATCATCTCGTATGTTGTTATGCTCACAATTTGAAATGTGAAACGAGTGCTTTTCCCGCCCGTGCCGGTCCGGAATCGGCCTGTCGACAAGTATGAAATCTACCGTGTCTTTTTATTACATGATTTATGGTAATTTTGGTATGTAGTATGAAGCTAAGCAAAGTAAAAAAAAACTATCAAGCTCTTGCTCCATGCTGTGAGTTGATGAATCACAAGGCTCGGTAATTCATATTATGCAGACCTGAAGACAATTTAATTAAAATCCTTCTCTCGCTAACCCCCCCCCCCCCCCCCCAACCTGCTGGACCATGGTAAACGTAGATGTAGAAGCTTAACCAAACCGTCAATTTCGATCTTAATTATCTCGATTTCTGTGAAAGATGTCGGAAATTTAAGAACTGATAAAATATAGGCGACACTATGATAAATAATTTGTCAATTGAGAAAATGTTGATATCGTTTACTGGAATCGAGATAATTGTGCTCAGAGTGTCGGTTTGGATGGGCTTCTATAATATTAGAACAAATACAGTAAGTGAAAGTTACTGTAAACCATAACTCACCAACTCTCCAATAGCACCGTCTCAAATCACGGCACTGATAAGTGACATTGTTGAGAACCACTCTTCGGAAGAACATCTTACAAGCATTGCATGATGGGACCTGTAAATTAGGAAAGGAATATTACCTTTCCACTGGAAAGCTTTAGTACGAGGATTGCTTTGATAGATGGTTAACAGTTGAAGATCCGTTGCAAAGCCCCGTTTTTAACGTTTGCATTTGGAATTCTCACCGTTCCTACTTCAGACATCATTAAAATTTCAACTGATATAATATTTGTCATAACATCAAAAGTATTTTATCAGTTAACAAACTTATGATATCTCTCAAACGAATCTAGATAATTGTGATCAAAAGGCACATATAGGGCAAACCTCTTGTTAAGCGAATACGGTACATGTTTCAGAGAGTTATATGCACAGACCATTTACAGTACATTTTACTAAACTGTAAACTGATAACAGTGGAGTACTCTAGTTACTGTAGCTTTATTCCCAACTCACTCCATAATTCATACCAAACGCCGAGTGGTAACAAACTTGACACCGGACCATCTGAGGTTGCGAAGGATCCAGTACTCCATACTGAAGCGGGTAGATCGGCAACATGATATTCCCGATGCTCCAAACAATGACTGAGATTCCAGCCTGCTCTGTATCACCCTCCACTTCTCATCTTGATCACATTTCTAGAGCAATCCGCTTTTCTCGAAGCGCCCCGCCCGATTCAATGGCTCAACAAATCCAGCTCATTCGACAAAAAATATATGAATGATCTATCTTTTTGCAAGACCTAGAGATGAGAAAATGCGCGTCGCCTTATATGCCGGGAGTGTCATTTTTTCAGTGGCATTTTTTCTGGGACTGGAAATAAAATTGTGAAGGTAAAATTGCTGACGTAAATTTTCGAGTAATACCATGATAACCCCAGTAAGATGGGATTTGTTAGATTAATATGTGGTTAATAGTATTATCCAGAATTTTCTGGTAAGTTCTGGAAAGAAGCAAAAACCAACAAACCAAATATAATACAGGTCAAATTTTGATTTGCTTATTGAAGTTGAATCAATCTGAAAATTCCACGGATCCTTGATGATCGAACATGATCCTTGTTACATACAGGATTTTCCCCGTGATTTTTGATTGGCTCGTTTGATGAAAATCGTACGTTTAATGTAAAAATAAAGCAACAAAAACAACAATGGCGTCTTATGACGCGTTTGATCTAATCGGTGACGACTACATTTCAGATCATCTAATTTTGATCTGAGTCATATTATATTTTTATCTAAACCATCTGCCTCTCGCATTATAACTACGTAGAAAATCTGGATCTATACACGTGTATTGTTATTAATAGTATTTTTTGGAATTGGTATTATAAGATGACGTAAAAATTCTGTAGGATTTTTCGGAGGATTTTTGCTACCAAGGGAGCAGTGGGTGATTTTCGTTACGTTCGGAAGACTTCTCGAACAATAATCCAAAAATTTTTCTTACTAAACTTTTATTGTTAGAACGAGTTTTCGAGAAACAGTTCAGATGAAATTTTGATTTATCCGATGAGATGCAATATAGAGTGGCCTAACTTTCTAAATTTGTTTTTTTCTAGGTCACCGTAGCTTATAGTCCAAAAACAGCTTGCCATGCAACTGAAATGTACTTAACTTTTGCAAGTAGAGTTTTTTAGGCCACTAACTTTTGTGGGCCAGATATGACTTGATATTCACCTGATGTGTTTTCTAGGACTTTTCAGCATGGTGGCCTATGTTTTTCAATGTTTTGAGTTTAGCTGACCTGGAGACTCCTGAAAATTTTAGTAAAAATAATCGTCGGTTGAATCCATCGATTTCACTATCAGTGATAAATTGCTACACCATTACAGATATTCAAAGTTCAGATATTTTCTTGACTATTTTCGTCTAGATAAATATTTGAAAAATATGTCTGAAGGACTTCATAATGTCTCAATTAACACATTAGTACCAATATTATTCTAGAAACAAATAAATATTTTATTTCAAAAAAATTGCAAGATACTACAAATGATCAAAAAAAAATTATAACGAATGACACACATCCACAAAAAGTTGTTTGTACGTAGTATTGGGCATGTACAATGGGAAAAGTGTGGTTAAGTAGTTGATGTCCTCAACCTGCTTGTTCATCACATGGCAAAGTGATAAGAGATCGGTGAATCGAGATGGTCCATTTTGTTGATAAGTTAGGAAGCAGTACTTGAAAAGAGCCGAGCTGTAGACTCGCTGGCGGGAGGTTATGATTGTTCTGGTTGCCTCGGAGACTTCGTGAACTGAAAACATGTAATTTTGAGAAAGCTTAAAGAAACGGAGGCAGGTTTGATTTTGGGCACCTTGCAAATACGACAACGGTACTCGGTGGAGTCAAAGCTGTTGGTGACAGGACCGAGGATTATTGGTCTGTTTTTAACAGCCTTGTGCAAAACACGACCGCGTAGCTCAGTTAGTACTGGTGCGACACATTTTTTCCTTAAATTCAACTTCCCGAGAGGCTTCAATGGGGTCAAGATTTATCTTTTGGATTTGCTTCTTATAACAGATCTATGTTGTAACATCAAAAATTCAGCTATATTTTGTCATAGCCAAAGTTCATCAAATTTTTAATCTCCACACGCTGCATATATCACAAATGTGCCATATGAATCACTTCCCCTTCTTTTTCGAGCAAAACACAACATTTACGTACCCGGATTACAGAATAGTAGCATATTCAGGAGTACATGCTCCTCATTGGTCATTTTTAGCTCCATACAACGGACCACCAGCCGGCTCCGGATCCCATTCAGAAAACTTCGCGAGAATATGGTTAGCCTGGAAAAAGAGGTTACAAAAATTATTTCAGTGGTTCAACAACTCACTGGTACATTCCCTCTGGATACACATCTGTACTATCGGGATTCACAACTTTATCCATGTTGCCGATATACGACCTCATTGCACTGAAGAATACCATTGATTGCATTGCGTAGTTTTTGATTAAAACCATCTGTAATATTTGTCTGTGATATCTCAACGTACAGTATACCATACTTTATCCTTATCGCTAATATGCTCCATAAAATCGAGACTCATAAAAAGCTCGACGGCACTGTAGAGTCCTAGAAAGCTCCATTCATGAAGTTGCACGGTTTGATTCTCCCTCTTCCGAACCATTCTAGAGCCTTTCCCACGTGTGATCACTTCTCGAAGTGTTGGATTTTCAGAAGTGTAGAAATTGAAAATTTTGTGCCGTCTTCTGGCGTCCAGGAATAGCAAGTCTCCGATGAGGGAGGTTAGATTTTCCTCGATCTTATTGGATAACTCTAGTTCAGGTTTTCCGGGTTGGATGTATTTCATACCAACGTCTACACATCGCTGGTATCGGCAGGCACGACATCTGGGAGAGCCAGCTTGTGCTGAAATTTTAATACTACTTATTTTTCCAAGGTACCTCAGAAAGGTGCCCTTTTCAGGTACTTTTCAGTCATTGAATTGTTTCAGACATTTTAAAGAAGGGGAAAGACAGGAGATCTTTCAGCTGGTACCCACATTGAAGGGACCCTTTAATTTGAGGGGCTTCAAAATTAAATATCCCTTCTAATACAAGTTACACTAAATTTAGACGTGATGTAATAGGGAGACCTACCGTAACATGTCTAATGTAGCCTACCCTATAGGTGCATTTTGAGCTCAATTATCTCCGTTCCAACAAATGATATCAAATATTTATCAATTGATAAAATATTAGGGACGTTATTATAAATAATTTATCAGTTGTGCATGTTTTATTATCTTCAGTGGGAACCGAGATAATTGGGACCAAAATGCATGTATAAGAGAATTTACGGTAGTAAGACTCATGATTTATGATCGGTGCTCCTTTGATCTCTACCCGCCAACTTCGAAATGTGTGAAAAAGGTCAGGACACCATCCTCCCGCACATATTTACCATCAACAAACGCGTGTCCTTCGTAGCATTTGTTCCAATATTTACACGTGTATGTGATCTGATCCACTTCAACCCGCCGGAAGAACATTTTGCACGCGTTGCACGTTAGTACCTAAAACACAAATGTCTTTATTTTGGTTATCTTCCGTTTCTTTTTATGATGCATGCGAGAATTTCTAGTATGAGGAAAGAGGATAGCTCCGGATATAAATGCGTGCTTTTGGAAGCAATGCAAAATATTTTTGGACTAGAGTATTTTTCTATTAAGGAACATCCGGATTTTAAAAGATTTTAGAGAAACAAATATAAAACCTGGTGCTCAGCATAATACATCAAGAACGTGGAAAATATTGCATAAATATATTTTTTTTTCTCGGGGGACTTTTTTTTTAACTTGCACATTTTTTGGTCCCATAAATTCCTTGGTCCGGCTCTTGCAAAAAAGTCTTTGTCAAGGGTGGTAGTTTAAACGTGTAGGGAAAGGACAATAGAATTTTCGAGACCAGAAATATTCTGACTCAACGAGTGAAAGCGTAATTTTATTGGTAAACGGGGATTATTTTGGGATCTTGAAATTTTTGAGGATTTTCAGATTTTATAATACACTCAGAAAGCCCGTCTAAACATCAAATTTGGCTAGATTTGACTAGAATTTAAAGATTCTGGAAGATTCTAGAAGATTCTGAAGGATTCTAAAAGATTCCAGAAACTTCTGGAAGATTCTTGAAGATTCTAGAACATTCTGAAAGATTCTAGAAGATTCTGGATAATTCTAGAAGATTTTAGATGATTCTAGAAGATTCTAGAAGATTTTAGAAGAATTTAGAAGGTTCTAGGAATTTCTATAATGTTCTGGAAGAATTTGTAGATTCTGGATCATTTTGGAGCTTCAGAAGTGTCTAAGATGCTAGGAGCCTAGAATTTCAGCATTTTCGAATCCTCAAGTCATTTTGAGATTCTGGAAAATTTGGAAGTTTAGGATAACCAAAGGTACATCAAAAAGGGGAAACTGGTTTATGGAGTACATGAAACCTTTGGGGTTATCTGGAAGGACAAAAACCATTTTTTCAGAATATTCCTTTGTCCGAATCATTTTAACTAAAAATCATCGTGAATGCACTAATAGAGGTCCAACCTATACTTCCACTTTGAGCCGAACTATCTCGGTTTCTACGAAAGCTATCAAAAATCTGCCAACTGATAAAATATGAACAATAATATGATATATATTGTATCATTTGACAAATTTTGATATCTCCCATAGGAACCGAGATAGGTGAGCTCAAAGTGCACATGGGGTGGGTTTCTCGAGCATTTACAATATTCTAAATGCACTCCAAAATCCCAAGTACCTCAAATGTGCCCTTTTCTGACTTACCTTTAGATATTGGGTTGGGTTTTTAAAGATTTCAGGATTCTTACATTATTTGGGAATGCAACTTACCCCGTAGTTGTAGCAGAATGCCGGTTTTCCACACACTGTACATCTTTCGGTGTGCTTCACCACAGCAAGACTAGTAGAAGTAATGGGAGTCGCCAGGTCTAACGGTAGATAGTCAGAATCTATGGAAGGTATGTCTGAATCCATACTCAGAGACCCACGTCTTCGAAAGTGAAGACGTGGGGGAAAATAAATAGAAGAATACAAAATTAAAAGATCAGGAAATCAGAATGGGGCGGGTGCTACTCATATCTGATTTCTGATTTATGATAAAAGGGTGTCTTGAAAGTGTCTCGAAATAATTTATTGCTAAAAAAGAGCAGGGTGAGACAGAGAAGGAAAGGAAGGCTATTTGCGGGTAGGTGCTCATTTTTGTTCCCGCTTGCTCAGAGATCGGATTTGGTGGTGTTGGTTGGTGAATAAAGAAGGAATGAATAATTGAGACACTGAAAAATCAAAAATAAATTCTAGTTGTATTTTTTGGTTTTCTGAACTAGCTTGGACTGGTGAGTAATTTTTTCAGCTGACTAGAACTTTCTAATCAGAATAAGACAGAAGCAAAAAAAACGTGCAAAGAACTAAGACAGAATCAGAAATTTGAACGTTTGAAATCAAAATCGGAATGGTGGTTTCTTGGGAGTCCTTACTGTTATGAAACATGAACTTTAAGCTCAATTATCTCGATGCCTTTAAGAGATATCGAAAATCTGTGAACTGATAAAATGTTTGTGATTAAAAAAAAGATAAAATGTTTGTGAAGATTTTATCAGTGGACAGATTTCTGATATCTTTCATAGGAACCGAGATAATTGATCTCCAACTTGGCAGTGGGGGTGGGACCAAACGGTGGATTCAAACTTTCAGACTACTTTACCCAAAAAAATTGATCTCAAAATCTCGGATTTTCCTTGATTTCAAAAAATCCGCTAATGCCAAAAAATGACGGTAACCCCTATGTATTTAAGTTCTATGATTCACCATTTTTGAAGTTTCTGACTTTAGAATCACAAAATTGCATTAAGTTTTTTTTTGTGCTTTGCTCAAACAATATACATTTTTCTATATTTGGGGAATCGTTCTTCCCGCTATGGACAATTTGCCTATAAATTTGGAAATTTGGATTCTGAGAGCCTCATGAGAGTCTTAACTTTTAGAATCCTATGATCCAAAATCTTCAGAGATTTCAGAACAAATCTGAATCCAGCTGACAAAAATATACAAAATCAACATTCGGAAACCATTTTCAATCTGATGCTGATCTTAATGTCAATGGCTCTTCTGAACTCAAGCTAAATCAAGCTGTGTGTTGATCCGAATTAGAGCAGATGAACAAACCCACGCGGTTTTTTCTGAATTCAAACGAATATAAAACTGGGAAGGATGCATGAAAAAAAATCAAAAGGGCATATAAAAAAGTAAAGTATCTTGAAACAACTGTCACTCCTTTTTATACCATTTTTTATCGCCCAACTTTCCGTGAATTCCTCAAACGACCCGGTTCCAAAATCATGGACTTTTTTTTTGGCACGTAAAAAGTCCGGTGATGTGAACGAATTCCAAGTAACGACAGCTTCAGAGTAGACTTTTTGTCCTCAGTTCTTGCAAAAAATGAGGTACCAAGAATAGAAAGTTCTCGGCCTACACCGCTGTGTCTGCTGAGTCATCATCTTAGACGAGCAGAGTCCACAGAGATTGAATTTCATGGAAGCAAAAAAAGAAAGACGGACAGAAGCAAAAGACAGAAGAGAAAAAGAGATTTATTACAAGAACAAATTGGAAGAAAAATTATAATGTACATAAAATTGAATCCAATGTAGAAATGAAGAGTTTCAAATTTAAAAAAAAAGTTCAGCGAATCTAGTGATCCAGGCTGTTGATAGTTGAGAAAACAATATTGAAGCCATACTTGCAAAATCAGGAACCGGCCCGACGGGCCCGGGTTCTTCAAATTTGAAAAAATTTTGAAATTTCAGAAGTGTTTTCACATTTTTTGTGAAAGAACTATTTTTATGGACACTTTTCTTGAAAAATTTTTTTCTTGTCAGAAAAATCGTCCATTTTTTTCTGTTGACCCCAAAAAATTTTTGAAAGACAGAAAAAATTTTGTTTATTTGAATTTCCAGTCGCCGAGATTTTCATTGGTTTTCGAGAATCCAGGTAAACCTGAAAATGTAAATATTCCAGACGGTCCAAAATAAATAATAAGAAATTTGTTACATGAAAATCGAACTGATATTGTTTCAATTAACTTTCAACTCTTTACAAACCATTTAGTTTGTATGTTGGCTGCTGGTGGTCCTAGTTTTCCAGGAACAATGAAGATTCATTTTGCAAACATCGGTTCTGATGTCTTTGTCAACTTGAACGATGGTGTCTTAAGCAGTAGAACTGATCCGAGCATTCATACATCTGAAGAAGCTGAGAATACAAAAAGCAAACGTTTTGTCTATACCGAAGTGATGTTTTCGAAATACTTCGAGTCTTTTATCAGCAACTATACCAAATCAATGCTCCTGACAAGGCAAGAGGCTTACTCTTCTGCAGGATTTCTTATCATTGTCTACTAAAACGCAAATAATAGAGGCTAGAAGCCAAAAACAAAAAACAGAGGCTAGAAAAATATGTTGACGTCCTTTTACATGATAAGATGAAGTGTTTTTTTCATGTAAAAGGACACACTTCGATCCAACCGACATTTCATTAGAAATTATGAAATTCTTCGCTTTCTGTATTCTCGCCATCCTTGGATGTGCCAGTGCTCAGTTCGGTCCCGTCGGTATAAAACATATACTTCGGGCTCACAATGACTTGAGATCCGATATTGCTATGGGAACCTATGATGGTTATGATGCTTTCAAACAACCGAAACCACCAGCAACCAACATGCGCAAGCTGGTTAGGTTATAATTATTTAATGTTTGATACTTCTGAAATTTTATTTAGAAATGGGACGATTCTCTTGCCACCTCTGCCCAAGACTATGCCAATACCTGTCCAGAATCACTCTCCCAACCATCTGGAGAGAACATCTACTTCGGATACGATTCAACTGACAAAAACACTGTAGATTACTTTGTGAGTATCGAAAGGATTGATATTTTAAAAAAATTTAATTTTTCAGGGACCAAGATCCTCGCAAGTTTGGGAAGAGGAGTTCGTAAAATTCGGATGGAATTCCACTACGATGGATGATAACGCCTCCAACATAAAAGAGGCAACTCAGATGGTTTGGGCTGAGACAGGCTCAATTGGGTGTGGAGTGAAGGTTTGTCCAAAGGACCCGTCTCATAACGACATGTTCAAGTATGTTGTGGTGTGCCATTATAAGGAACCGTGAGTGACTTTTGTAGAAAAATATGAAATTAATAATTTCAGAGGAAACGTGAAGGGCTCTGAGATTTACAAGGCAGGAAAGACCTGCTCTGCTTGCTCTTCTGGATTGACTTGTGAGACTGCAACTGGATTGTGTGTTTAACCTTGTTTCTTTTCACTGTGTTGTAAATTTTGAGTGATAAATCATTCATGAATGCATTTGAGATTTCATGATTCGAAAATACAGGGTACATTTCCCTGCCCAATTCCATGACATACCTTCAAGGGACTCAAGTCTCAAAGTTATGGTGAATCATTTTCCAACCATTCTTTTATGTTTTGGCATAACTTTTCTCGGGTTATTTTCTACATTTCTCAGAAAAGTGTGACGCTGCTTCAGCACTACGCATTCTTCATGACCAGTACTGTATATGTATTCGTCGACGCTGGGCCGACTGTCGCCGGTGATCCGATCTAGGCTTTCGGGTGGAAAATCATGAAATATATTTCTGTTTAGTTTTCAGACATTGGCTGTACCAGATGTCCCGTTGGAAGAGACACCAAAGGAAAATAGGTGAGTTGAGAGATGTTCAAGTAATAATGATGTCGGAAATCTTTTCAGTTATAAAGACGAGAAGGGAAGTCGTCAAACCGTGGGGGATACTGAAGAAGAAGAAGATATTTTACGACCAGTCACGATGAATATTCCAAATTAAATATGTAAGTGGGCGAGATGTGAAAAACTGAACTATTTTGAAATGACAGTGTTTAAAAAAATGTTCGAAAGGTTAATGTTAATCCCTATGTTTTACAGTTCCGCTGACCTTCGGTGCAAACGTGCCAGACAACTTCCGATGGATTTTCGGGAAGACAATTCGTCCAAAGAAATGTGAGTTTTCATCCAATTAGTTATGTAAATAATCTTTAAAGATCTTTCAGAAACACCCTGCCAAGCCCAACGCCAATAAAGCTGGAGAAGAGGAGTAGGAAAGGTACCTTCATCGAAATTCGACATCTTCGACACAATCTTCTCTACAGATTTAAATGATCGTTTTTTCTTTTTTTTTTGTTACTCTTTTTTTTTGAATTTCTAATCGAATGAACTGAAAATTGACATGAAAAATCAGTATAGATTTACGTGACCCTTAAAAAATAGGCGAAGAGCTACGAACCATTGGATTAAATTGCGCCAAATGCGCACCAGCTAGCTGATATATAAAAAAAAGATGTGAAATTTCAGTTTGTGACTGACGAATTGATTGATAATCGGACTTAAATTTCTACAGATTGGTGGGAATATTGTTTCAACTTTGGATTAATGTAATCCTTAATGCATTTATGAATGATTTATTACTTGAAATTTTTATCAAACAGTAAACACACAATCCGGTAGCAGTATCGCAAGTTGATCCAGCAGAGCAGGCAGAGCAAGTCTCTCCTGTCTTATAAATCTCAGAACCCTTCACGTTTCCTCTGAAATTATTAATTTTATATTTTCCTACAAAAGTCACTCACGGTTCTTTATAATGGCACACCACAACGTATCTGAACAAGTCGTTAATTTCTTTGGCTCTATTCTAGTTTAGAGGTCCCAAAAAAAATTAGAGGTCCCAAAAAAATTAGAGGTCCCAAAAAAAAATTAGAGGTCCCAAAAAAAATAGAGGTCCCAAAAAAAATAGAGGTCCCAAAAAAAATAGAGGTCCCAAAAAAATTAGAGGTCCCAAAAAATTAGAGGTCCCAAAAAAAATTAGAGGTCCCAAAAAATTAGAGGTCCCAAAGCAAAGTGTGATATTCTCAAATTTTGTTTTATCAAATTGTGAACAGAAGAGCTAAATTTTTATTAGAATGTTCTATTAAAAAGTTTTTTCTATGTTTTATCAATTATATTAATTTAAATTATTCATTCCAAGACATTCTCAAATGGCTCGTTATCAGATTCTAAATCATCTGATTGTTCGTCGTAGTCATTTTCGGTCAAAAAATATAAAATTTCCGATTTTCCTGAAACAATAATCCAAGCTTCTTCTGATGGGACGATACGGTGAGAGAAATACATGATGTACTTCTGATTTATAAGTATCTGGAAAACTATTCTCGAGAAGAGAGTTTGATTTTTAACTTACTTCAAATGCTGATTCATCGACTTTTATTTCCATTTCAATCTTACTGGCTTCTTTTAATGGTACGAAACGGATATCTTGGGTGTCCCAGAATCCTTGGTCCTCATTGGATGTGATCATCCTTGGTCCTCATTGGAACCACCTGCTTCAAGAAGGCACCCGATATCTACAAAAAGCCGGACAACTAGCCGAAACCGCTCTGGAAACTTGAGAAGAAGAAACAAAAATGAAGACGAAGTAGAAAACCGATCCCATTTTTCATCTGATACTTCGTCAGGCTCTGAACAAACGTCAAGCTCGGGTACTTGTTAAATACACCAATTAACCCTAATTTTTTATTTCAGACGATGAACTTGAGCACAGCGCACATCAACCTACTAACGGTCTCCTGTTGAATGCTCAACCACCTGCTTCAAGAAGGCACCCGATATCTACACTAAGCCGGACAACTAACCGAAACCGCTCTGGAAATTTGAGAGGAAGAAACAATGCAGGCTCTATCCAACGAAGACGAGAAAGTCCTGAAAACTCTCCTGTGAGTACTAGTGTTCGTGGAACATCTCGCGGCAGATCCAGAAGTCGTGGTCGAAGACTCCATCAATCAACACCGTCATCGCTTTCTCAGAATTCCCTAAACCGCACTATTGGAGTTTCTGCGACAGAAAGTGATTCGCCTCCTCATCCAGTTTCAGGACGCACAATTTCTGCATCATCTACTGGGACATCTCGTAAGACTAGTCGCCGTATAAATAATGGAGCAGATGTTGGCACAAATCAATGAGGAACAACTCGTGGGAAATCTCGTGGAAGTAGTGGCCCTCGTTTGGGACTTCGTGGATCGGCTCGTGGAAGAGTTTCTTCCACCGCTCTTGGAACAAATACTGCAGAAAATAACAACCGGCGTGGTTCGACACAAAATTCCGGAGCCGCTGGACGATCAGTTCCGGGAAGAGGGAGACCTCGTGGAAGAGCTCGCGGAAGTGTACCAATTCGTGGTCAGAGAATGAAGAAAGATTAATAAAACGTTAAACAAAATGTTATTAACAAAATTTGAATTGAAAAAAAATTGAATCTCTGTTCAGCCAAAAATTTTGTTCACCCAAACTTTGATTTGAGAATACCGCACTTTGCTTTCGGAGCTCTAATTATTTGGGACCTCTAATTTTTTGGGACCTCTAATTTTTTTGGGACCTCTATTTTTTTTGGGACCTCTATTTTTTTTTGGAACCTCTTTTTTTTTTTGGGACTTCTGTTTTTTTTTGGGACCTCTAATTTTTTTTGGGACCTCTAATTTTTTTTGGGATCTCTAAACTAGAATAGAGCCATGTATTTTCCACACACCTTCACTCCACACCCAATTGAGCATGTCTCAGCCCAGACCATCTGAGTAGCTTCTTTGATTCCAGAGTTGAAGTTATTTTCATCCATCGTAGTGGAATTTCATCCGTAAATTTCAAACTCCTCTTCCCAGACTTGCGAGGATCTTGGTCCCTGAAAAATTAGGCAAGTTTAGAATCCCAAGTTAGTCGGCACTCACATAGTAATCAATGCTTTCTGTGTCGATTGAACTATATTCAAAGAAGATGTTTTCGCCATCACGTGATGGTTTGGAGCCGAACTCTGGGCAGGTGTTGGCGTAGTCGTGAGCAGAGGTGGCAAGAGAAGAATTCCATTTTTAAAAAAATTTCAGAAGTATCAAACATGATAACCTTGATAACTATATGATAACCTTACCACCTTGCGCATATTGGTTGCTGGGGGTTTAGGTTGCTTGAAAGCTCCATAACCGTCATAGATTCCCATAGCAATATCGGATCTCAAGTCATTGTGAGCCCGGAGTATATGTTTTATACCGACGGGACCGAACTGACCACTGGCACATCCCAGGATGACAAGAATACAGAGAGCGAATTTCATGATTGAAATGCAACGGGAGTTAGATTGGAGTGTGTCGTTTTATATTAAAAAAAGCGTCTTCATCTCATAATAAGAAGTTATTACATTTCAACAAATTTTTCTAGCCTTTGTTATTGTTTTCAGTAGAGAATAATAGTGAATCTGGCAGAAGAGCAAGGATTGTCGTCTGTTTGAAAAACTTCAGAACGGGTTTTGTAATTGTGGTTTCCATTTACAAATATTTCATTTACAAATTTGTCTCAACTGGTAAAAAACAATGCCTATCAGTAATAAACAAAAAGGTCTCACACACAACAGCTAGAATCTTTGTTCTAGAAAGTAAGATAAGGTTGTCTATCTTCAATTGATGTTTTCGAAAGATTTTATCACAAATTACACCATAACAGTGCTCACCACAAAAACGACAAGAGAAGTTTTCGTTCCTTGCTCTTCTGCAAGATGTCTTATCATTATTTCCTAAAAACCCGAATAATAAAGGCTACAAGCCGAAAACAATAACAGAGGCTAGAAACATATGTTGACTTGTAATATGATGATAAGCTTAAGCTTTTTCATATAAAAAAACTCACTTCGATCTAACCGACATATTTCATTTCAAATCATGAAATTCTTCGCTCTATTTATTCTCGTCATTCTTGGATGCACCAGTGCCAAGTTCACTGCCGTCGGAATAAAACACATTCTTCGTGCTCACAATGACTTGAGATCTGATATTGCTCTGGGAGTTTATGATGCTGCTGGATCCATAAAACCACCAGCAACCAACATGCGCAAAATGGTGAGGTTATAATATTCTGATTACTTTGAATTAAATGTTTTTTAGACTTGGGATTCGTCTCTTGCCACCTCTGCTCAAGCATTCGCCGAAACCTGCCCAACTAATCACTCGAATGCTGATGGACTTGGAGAGAACATTTTCTTTTCCTACAGTGCAACTGACAAAAACAGTCTTGACTACTATGTGAGTTTCGAATGATTTGAAATTTTATAACTGTGTGATTTTTTCAGGGAGCAAGAGCCTCACAGTTGTGGGAAGAGGAGTTCCAACAATATGGATGGGATTCACTACGATGGATGACAACGCCTCCAACATCAAAGACGCTACTCAAATGGCTTGGGCTGAGACTGGTTTGATTGGATGCGGAGTTAAAGTATGTGGAAAGGACAAGTCTGGGGAAAGCCAGTTCAAGTATGTTGTGGTGTGCCATTATAAGGAACCGTAAGTAACTCTTGTTTTAAAATAGTAATGTATAATTTCAGAGGAAACAAAATCGGTGCTGAGATTTATCAGCCAGGAGACACCTGCACTGCTTGCCCGGCTGGCATGACTTGTGAGACTGATTCTGGATTGTGTGCTTAAACTTTTGTCTTGTTTTTGTTTTTTGTTTCAAGTAATATAAATAGTTGGTTCATAACTGCCTTTAAGAATTCGTCGTTACAAAAATAGAGTTCCATAAAAAATTATTCCAAAACCGCCTTCATCATGTCGTCAAAAACTTTTTGACGTTTGGGTTGAAATGTTCCAAAAGTTTGAATCAAAACGTTATCCAAATTCTTAGCAGTGTTGTTGATTGTGTCAAATAGTGAGAGAAGATCCGAGAATCTTGAAGGTCCACTATTTTGATATTTGATAAGGCAGTACTGCATGAGGATCGAGGCGTATTTCTTTTGGGATCTGCTGATTATAGTCTGGCCGTTTGGGGATAGCTTCGATGAAACTAGAAATCAAGGAATTATTAAAATAAGTGTTAAAGTAAACACTCTAAAAGAATGCTCCTAACTTTTAAGCCCAATTATCTCGATTCCTGAGAAAAGTATCAAAAAGTGATTATCTGATAAAATGTTTATCATAATATCTTTATATCTTTTTTTATCAGCTGGCCACTTTTTGATATCTTTCAGAGGAACCGAGATAAATTAATTCAAAGTTAGAGGGTCATTCTATCAGAGTGTTTACGCTAATTCCTTCTATGTTACCTGGATTACAAATGAATATAGCAGTGACCATTAGAAATTCTTCATAGATAATGTTCAGCTCCTTGAGGCGATTCACAATTGGACATCTAACCTTCAGCAAAACTTCAGGGCAGTTTATAAATTGACTTGTAAGCTGTTGAGGAAGAATATCAAGTCCTTCTGGAAACTCAGCACATTCTCTGCGATTTGTATAACATCTCATTGCAGTGCAAAACATCATGAACGGCTTATACATTTGCTTGACATAGACCTTCAAATCTTCTGAATCAAGTAACGGAACAAAATCGAAACTTTTCATGAAGACAACGCTAGTTGTGTGCTTCAAAGTTGCCCAATTGAAAACGTCCAGTTGCACTCCATGTTGTTTTAGTGTATAATTCACCGAATTCGATTCAATGAGCTCATCCAAAGTCAAGTTGTCCATTGCCACATAGTTAAGAAACACGTTTTGCCGATGGTTGTCCAGCTTCGCCAAATGTTTAATGGTTGGAGTAATGTCTCTCATAACGGGAGTCGGATCTTTCCAAACCATTCCGGCTGCTAGACAACGTTGATATCGGCAGAATCGACATCCGACACAGGGGTTCGTATTTTTGCAGTGAGTTGGAAAATTGGGATGCTGGGCGGCGCGACGGAAGAACATCTTACAAGAATTGCAGCAGGAAGCCTGAATGTTTTAATGTACAGTACCTAGCCATCCTGAATATTGATAACTTACCCCATAATTAAAGCCACCATCAGCCTTATTACAGATAGCACAATAAGTCGGTTGCCTGTTCATTCTCATAAGCAAAAAATGCTCAGAAATATTTCCGGCTTGCATTAGGCTTGCATTAAAGCACAAAGTGTGGAGGTGTGGAAAAAATTATGCACTCACTTGAGAGTGGATCAAGAAATATGCAGGTGTCTAGAGATTAGTCTATAAAGAAATCTTGGTTTGTTGAGGTTTGGAATCTTGATCGCTAAGCGGAACAGGATTTGGTGGCTTTTTTGAAATCAGAAAACGAAAAAGTGCTGAGTCAGAAGAAAATGCAGAGAAGAAAATGCGAGATAAAATGCTCCAAATTAATCTGAGGAATAGAAGGGCCACCCCTGGGCAACTGTAGTTGATGGCCCAAAAATTGTCTAACATGCACCTAATGTTTTCTAGGCCACTTACTATGCAGGCCTAACTTTTGCAAATTGAGTGTTCTAGGAAAACACAGCAATAACAGAGCATTTCTAGGCTATAAAAGTTGGTGGCCTAGGAAACGCAACATGCGAAAGTTAGGCCATCATGTTGAAATGGTTTTTGAGAAACATACAATGCTTGTGAGATATTCATAAATTTAAGTTTTCCGAAAAAAAAAAAGATCTACGGTTATGAGCTAAAACGGAAGTGGATACATACATTGCAAACAGTTATTTATTTATTTATTTCAACGGAGGGGAGAAAACCACTAACACGTGAAATGTCTATGAAACTAGGAGATATAACAGGGACATACATTTGTAGTAATTGGGAGATGAAGGAAAAACCGAGTTAGTAATTAGTTGAATTCAAGACAAGAAAATGTTTTAGATCACAGGATAATAGTCGATTTTTGAAAGCCGCTGACGAGGGCTTCACCGGAAACACTTTGGCGGGTAAAGAGTTCCAACATCTGATTACTCTATTAGAGAGAAATTGAGAAGATATTTTTGTTGAGTTTTTGATAAGTGATTTGAGATAGTATTTGTGACGTCGCAATGATCCAGCATGATTAAATATTTCGAAAATTGGAACCTCCATGATAATTTCTTTGGAAACAATAATTTTATACATGTAGACCAAATCATTATAGAGCCGGGGATCCTCCAAAGGAACTTAGCTGACATTCTTCCAGTGCTTCAAAGTATGAAGTGTATGCCATCCTGAATTTTTTGAAAATTCTGAAAACAAATGACTTTTGCACCGATTCGAATTTTATAATATGATCCTTTAGGATTGGAGAAGTGACTATCGTTCCATATTCGAGTAAAGGGCGTATGTAAATTGTATAGAATTTTATAAAAACCCTCCACGATGCGTTTTTTAGAATGGAAAAAAACATGTTGATCCTCTGATGTGATTTCCGAATAATCAACGAATAATGATAATGGAAACTCAGGTTACTGGAGAAGTAGATCCCAAGATCACGGACATTTTCCACAGGGGGAATCAAAGCTTGATTTAATTTGGGATTCATAACATTGGAGTTGGCATATTTTCTTGTTGCATTGAATTTGATGTATTCGCACTTTTTAGGAGCCGCTTTCATTTTCCACTTCGAGCACCAATTCTGCAATTCAATTAAATCTGCATCAATCAATCTATCATTCATATCATAAATTTTCAAGTCATCTGCAAACAGTAGATAGTCACTTTGAAATTTGTCACCAATACAATTAATATATAACAAGAAGAGGGTAGGCCCAAGAACAGAGCCCTGCGGGACTCTGGACAATACACGCCTCTCCTTCGATAGTATATCATTGATTTTGACTTGAAATTTTCTGTCCGTGACAAATGAATGAAGCCAATTTCTTCGTTTGGGAGATATCCCAAAGCTTTCCAACTTATGAATCAATTTGTTTATCGGCACTGTATCGAAGGCCCTCTGGAAATCAATATAGACGCTATGGGTATCTAACCCATTTAAAGAATTGAAAACAAGCTTGTTCTGGTAGGCGATCAGTTGGGAAATTGTACTTCTCTGATTAAAGAACTCGAATTGTTTTTCTGATAATAGATTATTTTCGGATAAGTATTGGACTAGATGTTTTCGTATCAACTTCTCCATAATCTTGCATATATTGGATGTTAAAGAGATTGGTCTATAATTTAAAGGATCGGAGCGGAGCCTTTCTTATGAAGCGGCATAACAATCGCCTCCTTCCAAGATTTTGGTATTCTTCCAACTCGATAACTTTCTGTGAATATAATGCATAGTGGAATCGCAAGAGGAGTACACGCTCTTTTCAGAAATATTGACGGGATACTATCCGGAGATTATTTCGGCCTTTCAGTTTATATAGTAATTACTCGATATTCTCCGGCGTGAATATGACATCTGAGCTGAACTTAGAAGTTAGATTCCCTGTAGCAGGAAGGATATCTTTGTCAATGTTGAAAAATTCACTGAAGCAATCTCCAAATATTTCGGCTTTTCCTTCATCACTCATGATAACATTCTCATTAGATTTATATCGTATTGCCGGTATATCACTTTTTCCTTTAAATTTCGATTTCATAAATCCGAAAAAATTTTTTGATCCAAAATTCAGACGTTTATAGATTCTTTCTTCTTCAGATTTCACGAGTGACCTTTTGAATAATGCTGAAACATGTTTATACTCGTCCGAGTTACCTGCTTTCTTCCAAATCAATAATTTCTTTTTTAGTAATTGTTTGGTTTCTTTGGAATAAATTATATTATGAATTAGATGAGTTACTGTTGGTACAAAATATTCAATAAGCTCCAGAAGTATTCCTCTCAAATCATCAAACATTTCATCAATTGACATTGTTGAAAATCGTAAATCCCAGTCGATATTTGATAGAATATAATTCATCGATCTAAAATCTCCTTTTTTGAAATTTTTCGTTGATTTGAGGGGTGAAATAGAATTAAGCAATATAAAGGTATCAATCTCAATCCTGCAATGGTCACCGAATTTCTCACCAACAATGACATCACGAATAATGTCCATGGAATTAGTGAACACCAGATCCAATATATTTGGTGGTTCGAGTCTTGTTGGATTTTGTACAAATTGCGTCAGGCCATTATAAAGCGAAAAGTCCAACAGTGACTGGCATTGAGAATCAGATGCTGTATATGAATTCCAATCAACATGGGCACAATTGAAATCTCCAGTGATAATAGATGGATTTTCAGTTGACAAGAGTATGTTAAGTGATTCTCGAAGGTCCTTAAAACAGTAGTTGTGATTAGGATTGTAACTTACAATTAATCTTGTAGTTTTGCCATGTATTTTGATATCCACAGATAGAATTTCAACGGATTCAAGATGTGTAGATCGAGTTGGAGGACTTTGTTCTTAATTGAGCAGCTATTGGTGTAACCAATTTTTAGAAATTTTCTGGGATCGAGTGTTTTTTGGCCCATGGCCACGGCTCCTGATTTTCTCTGTAGACAACTTTGACGACTTCCAGATTGCGAACCGTATAAATGCTTTGACCTGCCTCGTTGTTCTTTTGGATCACCGTTTTCCAGGATTGTCGATATTTCTCGAGTTCTGGTTTGGAGAGGTCTGGGCGGGGAGACGCATTCAAGCACCCTTGTATTGAAGCCTTGATTGAGTTGAATTTGGTGAGGACAGTTCTTGCTTCCTCCTTGGACTTGAATGCCAGGCGCACAATGGGCGGCCCTTTGGACGGATGAGGTATGCGAAAAACCGATGACGTCGAAGTACCACAGTCCTTGGCAATTTTAGAGGCGAATTCAGCTTTTTCAATAGCTTCTTACGAAAGGTCGATGTTTTTAATGATCACATTCGATTTCCGTGCATCTTCAGAGTTAGCCAATGAGGCAGCTCGCATGAAAGAGATTTGGGATTTTGGAGCAGAGATGGTTGAGGCGACAGCTGAAGCAAAAGTTTTAATTAATGTAGTAGGAGGTTTTGGTGATTCTTTAGGTTGAGATGATAACAATTTGAGATTCTCCTCCAAGCCATCAACTTTTTCCGTAAGATTCGACAAATTGGCATTTAGAATACAGTTTTGGTTTTTCAACATTGTGTTTTGGGATTGAAGCTTGAGAATCGTTTCAGCCAGCGACTTAAACATCATTGCAATATCATTCACAGTGAATTCTTCTTTCGATTTGAAATCATTAGACAGCAGTTCATATAATGGGTTAGACATATCATCCACAGATTCAATTATATCATCCACAGCTTGCTTACTGGAATATTCAGACAATTTGGATTTCTTACCGCCATTTTCATCTTTCAAGGCCGAGAGAGCTTTTCTCTTATTTCGAGGTTTATGTTTAATAATAGTTACAACCATAGCGGCCAAAAAATCGATATCAGAGGAATAGAAGGGGTCACCGCACGCTACAGAGACGCGGGAGGGGAAATGTGACGCGGGAGGGGAAAAGACGCGGGAGGGGAAATGACAGTAGCACAATGCACAAAACTAATCCTGTTTAAATGATCTCTGAATGGTGAAACCAAACTTCCTGAATAAGGGAAATAAAACACAACTGTTTAAGTTCAAGTATTCATTAGAGGATTTGACAAAAAATGGCTAGACTAACAAATTAGAGTAGCAAGGTAGGTAGGTTCATTTCATCATTCCCTCCAAGAAATCATTGAAAATTTTCTTTGGTGAAGGTCTCGGCTTTGCTAAGTCTGAACTGTATCATAGCTCTGACAAAATCCTTGTTTGCCTTATCAATAGTGCACCATGTGGATAGCAAATCGAGAAATCTAGATTGTCCTCAAGCTTGGTAAGTCATCTGACAATATTTCAACAGGTGAGAGGTATAACGATTCTGATATCTACTGATCAATTCACGGCTCTCGTCAGATAATTTCGCAGCGACTGAAAATATTTATTTTCGTTTGATTCTTCTCTGGGATCATATACCTGAATTGCAAATGGTAACTGCAGACAGCAAAAGAAATTCCTCGTTGGTAATTTTCAACTCTTTCAACTTTGCCACTAATGGATGTCGGAGGTTGTCTAAGACAGCGGGAGCGTTGGCGTCGCAAACCTCAAGATCTTCACAGATGACGTCAACGCCTCCTGGGAACTCCGCAGCTTCTCGTCGATTGGTATATGATCTCATAGCTGTACAAAACAGAGTATAAGGCATAATAGCCTTCTCGATGAATCCAATCAGTTCTTTTGCTGAAAGCAAGCTGATGAATTCGAATTTTTTGATGAAATCTATTCCCGTAGTATGACTAATAGCTGCGCAACCGTGACGAGTAAAATGAAAATGCTCATGTTTCGCAATATAGTTTGTTGAGGTGTACAGAACCAGAGTATCCAGATTGAAATCATCCATAAGTGCATAGCTATGGAATACATGTTTTCCTCGGTTATCCATAAGTTTCAACTGATTAATGACTATTTGCAAATAAGGGGTTAATGGTTGGAAAAGATGTTTCAATGGCAGAGGAACCAGCCATTTCATTTCAACAGCCAGAAACTTTTGGTATTGGTAGAATCGACAGTTGCGACAATTTTCTCCGTTCAGACAACATTTTGGAAATTTTCGAGATTTTAATGCTCTTCGGAATGTCATTTTGCAAACGTTACAGCAGTATGCCTCAAGGTTTAAACATTTACAATTACATACCGTACGAACCAGTTAGAAAGGGGCCTCCGCGCTGTCAAGTTTGAGCCAACATATCTCGGTTCCTGTGCAAGATTTAAAAAAGATGTCAACGCATAACTTGTTTATCATAATTTCACAAACATTTTATGAGTTAACACATTTTTCAAATAGTGCAAAAAAGCCAAGATTAACCCAGTGTTTGGGCTCTTCTGTCACAGGTTTTACGGTATCCAGACATTAGGACTTACCCCATAGCTAAATGCTTCGTCGGAAGAACATGTTACACGCGTCACAGCAGTATACCTTAAGGTTGAAACATTTACATAGATAATAAGACTTTAAGACTTACCCCACAACAAAATGAATGACCGTAGACCATTTCTTTATTACAGACATCGCAATTTTTTTGGCTCAGCGGACTCCATTTTGATATAGAAAAACAGGAGAAGTAGGAGAAATAGAAAAAAAAGAGTATGCTGGTCTAACAGGGGAAGTACCCGAAGTGAAATTTCGCTTTTTCTTAGATGTTGGTGGCAAAAAATGTCTCGTCGCTGGACTAGCACAAAACAGATAATATAAGGTGCCCATAGGCAGGTTGAGCAGAATGGCAAAACTTTTTGTGATTTTTCCGAAAAAGTGGGTCAAGTCCATTCAAAAAATCATAACTTTGTACAGATTGAAGATAAAACAATATACTAAATTGTATTTTGTAGCACGGATTACAGGCTACAAAAAACCCGATTACACTTTTATTCTTTCTCTGCAAAGAATTTTACTATGATAGGAAATGTCCGAATGGTCCGATCGTATGAAATCAAAACATGTCGATTTTCGAAAACACAACTTTGGGAGACCATGTCTATCCGATTCCATTTATGTCATAATGCACAACTGTAGTCTCAAATATGTAGCTCACCGATCATTTAAGAGAGATTTTTGAAAACATAATATTTTTAAAGTCAATTCCATACATGGTATTTTTTAAACGCATTTTTCCATATACAACATAAACGCTCTGAGAATGAAAGATTCAGTTGGTTTAGTTATTTTTTGATAGAAAATGATCAAACCGTGATCAAGAAGTCAAAATTTTCGAAAAAAAAATTCGCATGCACGCTCTTCCACAGAACAATTCCGAACTGCAAATTAATTTTTGATCTACAGGAAAAAGTTTGGCGCGATCACAATTGCAGGTCTAAAACCATAATTTCAGAATTTTTTATCTGATTTTGTGGAGTTCCAAGATGATTCAAATGATTCTTTAAAAAGTTAATTAGTGTTTATAGATTCATGTATGGTCGTTTTCCGGAAGAAAAAAATGTCAAAAATGGTCATTTTAAAAGTTTTTTACAGAAAAAATCTATCTCCTCTTTCAGTTTTTGACATTTCTAGGAGTTCTATAGCTCAAAAAAACCGCAATTTTTTCCTCTACATTTTTTATGGGCGAATTTTTATTGTCTATTCAAAATAATCGCGCGGGTGAACGAGTGAAAAAACGTGTAGAGAGTCTCCAAACCTGTAGAGGCGCTGTACAGACGCAGACATTTTTACTCGTTCACTCGCGCGATTATTTTGAATTGACAATAATTTGTCTGATAAAACTTTTTTTTATAATTCGAAAACCTCATGAAATTGCACAAAATAGCATTTTTGCGTTGTTTTTAAAAATTAAAAATTCATCCATAGAAAATGTAGAGAAAAGAATTGCGGTTTTTTTGAGCTATAGAACTCCTAGAAATGTCAAAAACTGATCGAGGAGATAGATTTTTTTCTGTAAAAAACTTTCAAAATGACCATTTTTGACATTTTTTTCTTCCGTAAAACGACCATACATGAATCTATAAACACTAATTACTTTTTAAAGAATCATTTGAATCATCTTGGAACTCCACAAAATCAGATAAAAAATTCTGAAATTATGGTTTTAGACCTGCAATTGTGATCGCGCCAAACTTTTTTCTGTGACATGTTAAAAAATACCATGTATAGGGGTACATGGATTTGACTTTAAAAATATTATTTGTTCAAAAATCTCTCTTAAATGAACGGCGAGCTACATATTTGAGACTACAGTTGTGCATTATGACATAAAAGTAATCGGACAGACATGGTCTCCCAAAAGTGTTTTTTCAATAATCGACATTTTTTGATTTCATACGATCGGACCATTCGGACATTTCCTATCATAGTAAAATTCTTGGTAGTAAAATTCAGAGATAGAATATATTATAATAAAATTCAGAGATAGAATAAAGGTGTAATTAGGTTTTTTGTAGCCTGTAATCCGTGCTACAAAATACAGTTTAGTATATTGTTTTATCTTCAATCTGTACAAAATTATGATTTTTTGAATGGACTTGACCCACTTTTTCGGAAAAACCACAAAAAGTTTTGCCATTCTGCTCAACCTGCCTATGGGCACCCTATATTATCCGTTTTGTGCTAGTCCAGCGACGGGACATTTTTTGTCACCAACATCTAAGAAAAAGCGAAAATTCACTTCGGGTACTTCCCCTGTAAGATTAGTAATAAGCGAGAATGCACAAAGCTGCTAGTCATGTCAGGAAAACAAAAAGATGAAAAAAAAACAAATTTCGACGGAAACTGTTGCTGCTCTACTGATTGAACAATGCTATTAACCAGAACTTATTTCTAAAAACTCATAAAAAGTCATTAATTTTCCAAAAATTAAAATATTTTTTAATTCAAAATAACTATCATAAAGATGACAAGTTTTAATATTGATGTTGATATACTTAGATTTTTGATGTGCAGGGTGGCGCATAATTACCCGCACAAAAGTTTGTACAACTATAAAATTTGAATAAAGCCTTGTACGGGCTCAAATTCCGAGTGCGGAATTTGTAGCCCTGTGAACGAACTTTTATTGAAATTCGGTTCACAATGCAAAATTTAACCAGAATTCTAAGCCGGATGTAGGGTGACTAGAGTGATATCTGTGGACAGCGGCATCCCACCAACGTGCAAGAAACATTTCGCCGCTCATCATCGGGCAATCATAAAAATAACGAAACTTGTGGAAACGTTTTGAAAATTTTAGTAGATGTGTATTAAAAATAGAGGTACATTCCTGCCAATTTTCATGCTTCCATCATACTTATGTCTGAAGATATACCCGTTTTCATTTGTGCAGGTAATTATGTGGATAAAAGACTCGAAGTATTTCGAAAACATCACTTCGGTATAGACAAAACGTTTGCTTTTTGTATCCTCAGCCTCTTCAGATGTATGAATGCTCGGATCAGTTCTACTGCTTAAGACACCATCGTCCAAGTTGACAAAGACCTCAGAACCGATGTTTGCAAAATGAATCTTCATTGTTCCTGGAAAACTAGGACCACCAGCAGCCAACATACAAACTAAATGGTTTGTAAAGAGTTGAAAGTTAATTGAAACAATATCAGTTCGATTTTCATGTAACAAATTTCTTATTATTTATTTTGGACCGTCTGGAATATTTACATTTTCAGGTTTACCTGGATTCTCGAAAACCAATGAAAATCTCGGCGACTGGAAATTCAAATAAACAAAATTTTTTCTGTCTTTCAAAAATTTTTTGGGGTCAACAGAAAAAAATGGACGATTTTTCTGACAAGAAAAAAATTTTTCAAGAAAAGTGTCCATAAAAATAGTTCTTTCTCAAAAAAATGTGAAAAAAACTTCTGAAATTTCAAAATTTTTTCAAATTTGAAGAACCCGGGCCCGTCGGGCCGGTTCCTGATTTTGCAAGTATGGCTTCAATATTGTTTTCTCAACTATCAACAGCCTGGATCACTAAATTCGCTGAACTTTTTTTTTTCATTTGAAACTCTTCATTTCTATATTGGATTCAATTTTATGTACATTATAATTTTTCTTCCAATTTGTTCTTGTAATAAATCTCTTTTTCTCTTCTGTCTTTTGCTTCTGTCCGTCTTTCTTTTTTTGCTTCCATGAAATTCAATCTCTGTGGACTCTGCTCGTCTAAGATGATGACTCAGCAGACACAGCGGTGTAGGCCGAGAACTTTCTATTCTTGGTACCTCATTTTTTGCAAGAACTGAAGACAAAAAGTCTACTCTGAAGCTGTCGTTACTTGGAATTCGTTCACATCACCGGACTTTTTACGTGCCAAAAAAAAAGTCCATGATTTTGGAACCGGGTCGTTTGAGGAATTCACGGAAAGTTGGGCGATAAAAAATGGTATAAAAAGGAGTGACAGTTGTTTCAAGATACTTTACTTTTTTATATGCCCTTTTGATTTTTTTTCATGTATCCTTCCCAGTTTTATATTCGTTTGAATTCAGAAAAAAACCGCGTGGGTTTGTTCATCTGCTCTAATTCGGATCAACACACAGCTTGATTTAGCTTGAGTTCAGAAGAGCCATTGAGATAACGTTTTGATTCAAACTTTTGGAACATTTCAACCCAAACGTCAAAAAGTTTTTGACGACATGATGAAGGCGGTTTTGGAATAATTTTTTATGGAACTCTATTTTTGTAATAACGAATTCTTAAAGGCAGTTATGAACCAACTATTTATATTACTTTAAACAAAAAAACAAAAACAAGACAAAAGTTTAAGCACACAATCCAGAAGCAGTCTCACAAGTCAGGCCAGCCGAGCAAGCAGTGCAGGTGTCTCCTGGCTGATAAATCTCAGCACCGATTTTGTTTCCTCTGAAATTATACATTACTATTTTAAAACAAGAGTTACTTACGGTTTCTTATAATGGCACACCACAACATACTTGAACTGGCTTGCCCCAGACTTGTCCTTTCCACATACTTTAACCCGCATCCAATCAAACCAGTCTCAGCCCAAGCCATTTGAGTAGCGTCTTTGATGTTGGAGGCGTTGTCATCCATCGTAGTGGAATCCCATCCATATTGTTGGAACTCCTCTTCCCACAACTGTGAGGCTCTTGCTCCCTGAAAAAATCACACAGTTATAAAATTTCAAATCATTCGAAACTCACATAGTAGTCAAGACTGTTTTTGTCAGTTGCACTGTAGGAAAAGAAAATGTTCTCTCCAAGTCCATCAGCATTCGAGTGATTAGTTGGGCAGGTTTCGGCGAATGCTTGAGCAGAGGTGGCAAGAGACGAATCCCAAGTCTAAAAAACATTTAATTCAAAGTAATCAGAATATTATAACCTCACCATTTTGCGCATGTTGGTTGCTGGTGGTTTTATGGATCCAGCAGCATCATAAACTCCCAGAGCAATATCAGATCTCAAGTCATTGTGAGCACGAAGAATGTGTTTTATTCCGACGGCAGTGAACTTGGCACTGGTGCATCCAAGAATGACGAGAATAAATAGAGCGAAGAATTTCATGATTTGAAATGAAATATGTCGGTTAGATCGAAGTGAGTTTTTTTATATGAAAAAGCTTAAGCTTATCATCATATTACAAGTCAACATATGTTTCTAGCCTCTGTTATTGTTTTCGGCTTGTAGCCTTTATTATTCGGGTTTTTAGGAAATAATGATAAGACATCTTGCAGAAGAGCAAGGAACGAAAACTTCTCTTGTCGTTTTTGTGGTGAGCACTGTTATGGTGTAATTTGTGATAAAATCTTTCGAAAACATCAATTGAAGATAGACAACCTTATCTTACTTTCTAGAACAAAGATTCTAGCTGTTGTGTGTGAGACCTTTTTGTTTATTACTGATAAGCACTGTTTTCTACCAGTTGAGACAAATTTGTAAATGAAATATTTGTAAATGGAAACCACAATTACAAAACCCGTTCTGAAGTTTTTCAAACAGACGACAATCCTTGCTCTTCTGCCAGATTCACTATTATTCTCTACTGAAAACAATAACAAAGGCTAGAAAAATTTGTTGAAATGTAATAACTTCTTTTTATGAGATGAAGACGCTTTTTTTAATATAAAACGACACACTCCAATCTAACTCCCGTTGCATTTCAAATCATGAAATTCGCTCTCTGTATTCTTGTCATCCTGGGATGTGCCAGTGGTCAGTTCGGACCCGTCGGTATAAAACATATACTCCGGGCTCACAATGACTTGAGATCCGATATTGCTATGGGAATCTATGACGGTTATGGAGCTTTCAAGAAACCTAAACCCCCAGCAACCAATATGCGCAAGATGGTAAGGTTATCATACTCTAATGTGTGATACTTCTGAAATTTTTTTAAAAATGGAATTCTTCTCTTGCCACCTCTGCTCACGACTACGCCAACACCTGCCCAGAGTTCGGCTCCAAACCATCACGTGATGGCGAAAACATCTTCTTTGAATATAGTTCAATCGAAACAGAAAGCATTGATTACTATGTGAGTGCCGACTAACTTGAGATTCTAAACTTGCCTAATTTTTCAGGGACCAAGGTCCTCGCAAGTCTGGGAAGAGGAGTTTGAAATTTACGGATGAAATTCCACTACGATGGATGAAAATAACTTCAACTCTGGAATCAAAGAAGCTACTCAGATGGTCAAGACTTGTTCAGATACGTTGTGGTGTGCCATTATAAAGAACCGTGAGTGACTTTTGTAGGAAAATATAAATTTAATAATTTCAGAGGAAACGTGAAGGGTTCTGAGATTTATAAGACAGGAGAGACTTGCTCTGCCTGCTCTGCTGGATCAACTTGCGATACTGCTACCGGATTGTGTGTTTACTGTTTGATAAAAATTTCAAGTAATAAATCATTCATAAATGCATTAAGGATTGCATTAATCCAAAGTTGAAACAATATTCCCACCAATCTGTAGAAATTTAAGTCCGATTATCAATCAATTCGTCAGTCACAAACTGAAATTTCACATCTTTTTTATATATCAGCTAGCTGGTGCGCATTTGGCGCAATTTAATCCAATGGTTCGTAGCTCCTCGCCTATTTTTTAAGGGTCACGTAAATCTATACTGATTTTTCATGTCAATTTTTTCCAGGAAACACCAAAACAAGGGGCGGAGCACAGGTGTATTTTGAAAATTCTCGATCAGTTCGAATAAGGAATAGTTATATAATTTCGGCTTTTACATGTATCACTTTCTGCAAAAACAAGACAGGTGAAACATAAACGAAAATCCACTCAATATGCTCATTTGAACCCCAATCATGAACTCTACGTGCATCCCGGATGTTGGATATTTCGACTCTCCTAAGTTTTTATCAATGGTTCTCCATATGAATACAATCATTTCCACACCGATTCATCTATTCGGATTCTACTGTATCATTTGGAAAACTCCAATGATAATGAAGTCAGCAAAACTGTACCTGCTGAATCTGCATTTTTGGATTTTTTCGTTCGATTACTCGATTAGTATACTAATGATGCCATTTTTGTTAATACCTCATTATGCTGGTTATACTCTAGGAGTGTTGAGTTGGTTTGATGTATCAGTTTTGTTTCAGACTTTTATGGGGCTGTTTTTTCTTGCAAGTGAGTAGTCATAAATTTTACGAAATATTTCACGTTAGCCAAACATATGTTTTAAGACATGGTCGCCTCATATGTTGTACTATTCGAAAGCCGTTTTTATACTGTATGCGAATTCGCTTGGAAGCCTTACTGGAAACGTTGGCGTAAAGCCGGGATTATCATTTATCACGTTGTTGTGAGTTGTGTAACACTGTCACTAGCTTACACAGAACTTGATCAGGAAACAGAAAAAAGAAATATGTTTAAGGTACTTTTAGTCAGTTTGAAATCAAACTTTTCTATCAGGTTATTTCCAGAAACTCCCATGCTTACCTCAATACATTTATGAAGCCAATATCTTCGTCCTATGTGGTGACTATTCTTTCCAGTTGGCACCTATCGTGGTGATGCACTGTTTTGCCTCTGTAATGGTTGTCTTATTTGCACTTCTTCTGGCATGGAACTTATTAGTTCAACTAAGAAGCCGAACAATGTCCCAAAGGACTTACCAACTTCAGAATGCGTTTCTCATAGCTTTAGTAATTCAAATAATGATTCCTCTCTGCACGTTCATAATACCTATTACATATATTGAACTTGCAATCGTATTCCGCTGGTACAAACAGTTGTTTACCAATTTCGGAATTTCTTTGATATCCATGCATGGATTTTCGTCTTCATTAACTATGATCTTAGTTCATCGTCCTTATCGAGATGCATTGCTCATTTTTTTCGAAGAGAACGTGACCGTCCGATTTGGAGAAAGCTCTTTCAGGCGCTTCTTGCGTTATCGTCGAGATGTTTCTGTTGGAGCTGTCTCATCTTGACTTTTCATAAATTTGATTTTTTTCTTATTGTTACAACAAGTAGATTTGAGTTTTATTATATCATAAAGTTCATTGAAATTGTGTGATAAAGTCTTTCAAAGCCATATAGGTGAAACTGATGTGCAAAGACGCAGGTGGAAATAGTTAGGAGCTCTTTGGAAAGGATCAAAAAAGTGATCAAGGTCGGCCGTGAAGAGTTCATTTTTGCCCAGGACACACCAAAACAGGGAGCAGAAAACATATGTATTTTCAGCTCGAATAAGGAATAATTATAATTTCGGTTTTTACATGTTTCACTTTCTGCAAAAATACGACAGGTGAAACATAAACGAAAATGGAAAATCAATATGCTCATTTGGACCACACTCATGAATTCTTTATGCATCCCGGATGTTGGATACTTTTGACGCTCTTTGAAAATAGGAAAAAATGGCGAAGAGGATCAAAACATTGATCAAGTTCGGTGGCGATCAGCGAATGGGCAGAGTGTCGTTGGGGGACTTTTGTTTTCTTGGAAAGATCATACATCCTATATGGATTCTATATAGATCGGATCACCGGCGACAGTCGGCCCAGCGTCGACGAATACATATACAGTACTGGTCATGAAGAATGCGTAGTGCTGAAGCAGCGTCACACTTTTCTGAGAAATGTAGAAAATAACCCGAGAAAAGTTATGCCAAAACATAAAAGAATGGTTGGAAAATGATTCACCATAACTTTGAGACTTGAGTCCCTTGAAGGTATGTCATGGAATTGGGCAGGGAAATGTACCCTGTATTTTCGAATCATGAAATCTCAAATGCATTCATGAATGATTTATTACTCAAAATTTACAACACAGTGAAAAGAAACAAGGTTAAACACACAATCCAGTTGCAGTCTCACAAGTCAATCCAGTATAGCAAGTAGAGCAGGTCTTTCCTTCCTTATAAATCTCACGGCCCTTCACGTTTCCTCTGAAATTATTAATTTCATATTTTTCTACAAAAGCCACTCACGGTTGCTCATAATGGCACACCACAACATACTTGAACATGTCGTTATGGGACGGGTCCTTTGGACAAACCTTCACTCCACACCCAATTGAGCTTGTCGAAGCCCAAACCATCTGAGTTGCCTCTTTTATGTTGGAGGCGTTATCATCCATCGTAGTGGAATTCCATCCGAATTTTACGAACTCCTCTTCCCAAACTTGCGAGGATCTTGGTCCCTGAAAAATTAAATTCTTTTAAAATATCAATCCTTTCGATACTCACAAAGTAATCCACAGTGTTTTTGTCAGTTGAATCGTATCCGAAGTAGATGTTCTCTCCAGATGGTTGGGAGAGTGATTCTGGACAGGTATTGGCATAGTCTTGGGCAGAGGTGGCAAGAGAATCGTCCCATTTCTAAATAAAATTTCAGAAGTATCAAACATTAAATAATGATAACCTAACCAGCTTGCGCATGTTTTTTGCTGGTGGTTTCGGTTGTTTGAAAGCTCCATAACCGTCATAGATTCCCATAGCAATATCGGATCTCAAGTCATTGTGATACCGGAGTATATGTTTTATACCGACGGGACCGAACTGAGCACTGGCACATCCAAAGATGGCGAGAATACAGAGAGCGAATTTCATGATTTGAAATGAAATGTCTTTTGGATCAGAGTGGGTCCTTTTATATGAAAAGGTTTGAACTTGTCTTATGGCAAAACATGTTTCATTGGTTGATTGTTTTCAGCTTCTCGCCTTTATTATTCGTTTGTCGTCATTGTTATTGTCATTTTTGACAAAGGAAATATTCGAAACATTTCGAAAACATAACTAATAGTGAGAGCCAAACATTCTTATCTCTGTTGAGACCAAAGTTTCAAATTGCTGTGGGTGAAACCTTTGTTATGCCTTTTTTGTTTTTACTGAGGGCTCCGGAAATGATGAAATGATGATTTCCGAGTTTTTCAAATACTCAGATTTTCCGAATTCCTGAAATTTTGAATTACCCACATACATTATTACTTCTAAGCTTTCGATTCTAGAAAAGGTTGCAATATTTTTATAGAGAAAGCTAAAATTTGAGAAAGTTTGAGATATTTCTGGAATTTTTTTGGAATATTCTTGAAATTTTTTGTGAATTTCCAGGACTATTCTACAATTTTGTAAAGTTCTTATAAATGTTTTGCGTCTTTTGGAGTTTTCTAGAAATTTCTGAAATTTTCTAGAATGTTCTGGAACTTTCTAAAATGTTCTGATACTTTCTATTAGGTTGGCGGGAAAGTCTTTGTCACTCTGTTTGTTTAATCACTGTTCTCGTATATGGAGGCTGTGTATGATATCGACTTTAGTGAATAACAAGGTGATAAGAACCTTCCATATAAACAAGTCCCCATCTCCTTCCCTGCTCCTCATCTGTAATTGAAACGATATGTTTGTTCCCACTGCTATTCACATCAGACATGTTTTGATTTACCTCTTCCTATCTCACACCACGATGAAGGATTCGGAAACTTTCTTGAAGAATGTGTACAACACACATGCCCCTCACTACAATACTATTCGCAATTGGTTCCATCGTTTCGAAAAAGATGACTTCTCGCTCGATGAAAAGGATCGCTCTGGGAGACCCCGTGAGTTGGATTTGGACAAGCTGAAGCACGCATTGCAATCGGATCCATTTCAATCTAGCCGTGAACTAGCTGTCACATTCGGAGTTCACCATAGCACAGTCCTTGAAGGTTTGAAGTCTCTTGGAATGAGAAAACTTTTTGGTCGATTCATACCTCATCACCTGACTCAAGCCAACCTTGACCGCCGAGTCGACGATTCGATTACTCTTCTCACTCTCCACGCGGGCGATCGATGGCTGGACCGGCTAATAACCGGAGATGAGAAGTGGGTCTTCTACGATAATCACCACAGGAAATCCCAGTGGGTTGGAGAAGGAGAGAGCCCACAGGATGTCCCCAAACCCGACCTTCATCCGAAAAAAGTTATGCTCTCTGTGTGGTGGGGAGTGGACGGCCCCATCTACTGGGAACTTCTGCCCGAGGGCAAAACAATAACTGGAGACCTCTACACTACTCAACTACGAAACCTCAAGAAAGCAGTCGACCGTTCGGCCCTGAAAGACAAGAAAGTGTACTGTCAACATGATAACGCTCGCCCACATGTTTCGAAACAAGTGAAGCAGGAGCTGATGGGATATGGATGGAATGTTCTCCCTCACCCCCCGTATTCTCCTGATCTTGCTCCTTCCGACTATTGGTTATTTGGCGATATGACACGTGCCTTCGAAGGAAGAAGCTTCAATTCCCGTGGAGCGGTCGAAGCGGCACTCAAACAATACTTTGCCTCACGCCCGGCTGGATTCTACCGCAATGGAATCCATAAATTGAGGGAACGTTGGAGACATGTTGTTGATAATGATGGACAATATAATTAATTATTCGGTTATTTTTTCTTTGAGAAATAAACTATTGAAAAAGTGACAAAGACTTTCCCGCCAACCTAATAGAATGTTTTGGAGTTTTCTGGAATTTCTTGAAACTTCTCAAAATTCCTGAAACTTTCTAGAATTTTCTGGAACTTTCTGGAATTCTCTAGAATGTTCTGGAACTTTCTGGAATTTTCTGAATATTTTTGGAATTTTCTAGAATGTTTTGGAATTTTCTAGAATATTCTGGGATTTTGTAGAATGTTCTGAAATTTTCTGGAATTTTCTACAATGTTCTGGAACTTTCGAGAATGTTCTAGATTTTCTGGAACTTTTTCCTGGAACTTTCTAGAATGTTCTGAATTTTCTGGAATTTTCTGGAATTTTCTAGAATGTTCTGGAATTTTCTGGAACTTTCGGGATTTTCCTAGAATGTTTTATCAACTTTGTAGAATATTCTGGAATTTTCTAGAATGTTTTGGAATTTTCTGTAATGTTCTGGAACTTTCTGCACAACTCTTAAGAACCTTGTATTCAAAAAAAATTACTATGACCCATTTCCAATAGTCCACAGGATCGAAATTTTAGTGATATACAAAAAAAACGAAATTTTCAAAAATTTTCAGTTTTGAAGATAAAAGGACCCACTCTGATCCAAAAGACATTTCATTTCAAATCATGAAATTCGCTCTCTGTATTCTCGTCATTTTCGGATGTGCCAATGCTGAGTTTGGTCCAGTCGGTATAAAACGCATACTCAATATTCACAATGAGTTGAGATCTCAAATTGCTTTGGGAGCCTATGACGGTGAAGAAACATTTGACACATATAAACCATCAGCATCCAACATGCGCAAACTGGTAAGATTATATAATTAGAATTTTTGCCAGTGACGTTTCGCTTAGAAATGGGACGACTCTCTCGCCGCCTCTGCTCAAAACTACTCCAACACTTGTCCAGACCGTCTCTCCGCACCATCACGAGATGGAGAGAACGTCTTCTTTGCAACTAGTTCAAACGGGCAAGACAGTGTTGGTTACTATGTGAGTTTCGAATGACTTGGGATTTTCACGAAAGTAGGAAACAAAGAAACGGTCGGACCGTCATAACGGAGTGTCGTTGCCAGGCGGCGACTGGTGGATAACGGCTAGTGAGCTGAACTTAGAAGTTAGATTCCCGGTAGCAGGAAGGATATCTTTGTCAATGTTGAAAAATTCACTGAAGCAATCTCCAAATATTTCGGCTTTTCCTTCATCACTCATGATAACATTCTCATTAGATTTATATCGTATTGCCGGGAAATGTCTCGAACTTTCTCAAATTTTAGCTTTCTCTATAAAAACATTGCAACCTTTTCTAGAACCGAAGGCTTAGAAGTAATAGTGTATGTGGGCAGAGTTGCAACCGGCCAGGCCGGGCCGGGCCGGGCCCTGTTTTTTTT